ATATATGTTAAAAAGGATTCATTATGGTATATTTTCTGGTGCACTTTTTCTGATGGACGATTGGAAACTTTTTGCTGTACAATTAGACACACGACGTTTTTCTTTTAAGAACAGCTGTACGAAAGAAGAATGAGATCCTTACATTCCTATCAGCGACGTAATATCTATTTCCATCTTTCTCTATCTCTCTTTATTGCACATGCGCACGTTCCTTGGCAAAAACGAGGCTTTAGAACCCTTCCGGCACGAAGCACACGTGAGGAAGGATTAGTTCTGATTGAAGAGAACGACTATAGAAAGAGCAACGGGAGGGGGGGCGACGAATACATCGAGGTCGAATTCGAATTTTCTCGCGAAACCTTGAAGATTTTTTAGAAGAAAAGCAAAAGATAGTCGACACGTTCTTCAAATTATTTTATCCTGTTTGGATCAATTTGATTATATAATCTCCTTAACAAATCTTCTCATCTTTCTACTTTCCTTTCTTTTTTTTTTCTTTTTTAATATCCTTTTCTTACGTTTTTTAGTTTTTAAGTATTGTTTCGTTTCATTTAATTCTTTTGCAAATTCTTACCTTGATTTATATATATATATATTTGTTCATCCTGGTCACGTAAAAGTAACTCACATCGTTTTGCTTATTTTCATCACGTGTTATTTCACTAGTCCTAGGTATACAGTATTACAATGTGATTTTGATTCTTTTTTTTTTTAAATATTCAATAGAGAATAAAACAAAATTGCATGCATCATTTTGTTAACGTATTAAATAAAAAAATAATGTATTCAAATAAATGACATATCTGTATATATAACTGCAGTTAAAAAAAGATGTACTTTTTTCTTTTCTTTTTTTTTTTTATGGGATAAGGACGAAATGTCACGATACAAATATATAAAACGTGAGGGATCATTAATTAATCAAAGATGAACCTTGAAAAACGCGCATAAGATAATATCTCCTTTCTATATTTCTCTTTATTTATTTTGCGTATGCATTCGTTTACAGTTATCATCAACTTTTTGTGTGAAAACCGTCGCAAAAAAATCTCTAACTAACGTAGAACGATTAAAATCGAACTTACGATACGAATCTATATTACACAACTGGGTCATATTACGATCGGTCTTTAATTAGTATTAATATATTTGTTTTACAATCATGCGTCAAGTTTTAATTACAAATTTCAAACTATTTTCGTTTGATTCTATTTTCTTCTTTTCTAATAAGTTTTAGAATTAAATTATGGTAATAGTGTCATATTTTTTTTTGTTTAAATTGATTTTTAATTCGTAATTCCTTCTCTCCTCTTTTATTACTAAATTTGTTTTTCTTTTTTCTTTTTTGTAATATTTTCTTATCTTTTTTTTTTATTTTTAATATAATCGAGACTCGTGTGTGTATATTACGTAATTTTATTTGATTTCTCTCGTTATTTTTATTATGGCCTAAATTTTTCAACGTCGTTCCAATGTAAAAGGAAGGAAAGGCTTGCTGAAATTTTCCACGTGGCTCGTGCGACCAGGTCGTCGTACAGGTGCACAACACCCACCATATTCTCAATCCTTTCTCTCCTCCCCCCTCTCTCTTTCTCTTCCCCTTTCCCTTCACCATTCTGTCACCCTTCTTCTTGCTCTTTTCGGCTCTCATCTTACGCTCGGATGAAATCGCAGAAAATCGTTTTAGCGAAGTTAGGGAGGAGTGAGGGGGGAAGATACAGAAGGGGAGATTGGATGAAAGTTAAAAACCGTCTTTTAAAACGAATCTCACTCACCTCATGGAAGAAAAAGAAATAAAAAAAAAAAAATTTACGTTATTAGTCGAAGATGTTATTCCGCATTTCGAAGATCTCTATTTATTTTTATTATTATTATTATTATTTGAAAATAAAAACAAAAAAAAAAGGAATTTTATAGTAGCATCGACGTAACGCGTTACGTCAACGCAAATTTCACAATATATCGACCTTCTTCTCGTGTTTACGGTTCTTTCTCTTTTCTTTTCTTTCCCCTGGTTTATTCTTTAGTTTTTTTTCTTGCTTTTTAAATTTTTTTTTATTTTGCGTTACTGATGGTGGCTGCTGGTGCACGTCGCTTCGATATGTGCCTACATAAAAATAGAACTACGACCAGAGAGAAAAGAGAGAGAAAGAGAGAGAAAGAGAGCATTATGTCGGAATTTATGCACCAACGTGCAAGCGCTTGTTTTGCTGCTACTCTTCTATCCCTTCATGCGTGTTTGTATGTGCGTGCATGGATGCATATATATATAATTGTATACGTGCTTATATATGTTTGTATGTGTGTTTGTTTGTATATAAGTTTTATAATGTACTTATATATGTACGATGCATGTGTTTATATACCGCATATACAATACGTTCTTGCGTCATATATACGACCTATGTTTATATGATGTGTATATATTTATGTATATACCTGTATATATATAAAGGGAAGTTATGCTAGTAGGAAAAATGCGTGGACGCATGAGACGAGTCGTTCTCTGATCGTGTTATTACGCGAAGGCTCATGCTTAGCAGTGCATGAAGCGATTCCCAGACCTCGTTTCCTTTTTTTCCCCACTCTTTTACACCACCCTCTTCTTCCTTCCTTCCTTCCTCTCTCTCTTTTTTTTCTTCTTGGACGTAAAAAAGAAGGACAAAGTCGACGATGGTAAAAGATGGATAGATACAAATGAGAGAGAAAGAGTTAGATCGGGTGATGGCAGGGGGTTGGTGGGATAGTGGGAGGTGGGTACAGTCGAAGAAGACTCTGTTATAAAGGTGTAGAGATGCTACTGTACACATTAAAAACGCACACATACATATATACTAACGCACATTTAGAGAAGGGATCGCGGGTTGTTGACTCACTGCCCATTCAGTATAAAGTGCAACGACTTCCTCCGATGAAAATCTGTATCATCGCCTGAAGCCGCGGTGCACATCTATTTTTTTTTTCTTTTCT